AAGATGCGGGATGCGGTGACTTGGCTCCGGAAATACTTGCGGCAGCCAGACTATGGTCTTTGCAGGCAACTCTGCCATAGCTGTAGGTGCAGTGCAATAACTTTGGCCAATCTCTAATTGCATGTTCACGTGACTGCGGGCCGGCCCTTGCGGCATACCCTGAACAACAGTCGTTTTTCATGGCCAGTGTAGTGCGGTCTGGACATTGCTTTGCACGGCTAGTGCCTATCTAGGTTGAAACGGTTAACCCGATTAGGATGCCGGCGCTTTCGAATCAAGTTACACATGCTAACGAGAAAATTTCAACGCACACCAGGAAGCATGTGATCACATCGACAACTGCCTGCCCAGCTCCTAAGCAAATTGGCAATTCGCAAACGACATTTGCATGCGGCGTGCTCGCAAGGGTACGGAACATGATGTCAACCTAACACTAGCGGCACACATCATCGCAGCTACAGTCGCTACCATTGTCATGGGATCCCTTGCGTCACTGCCGTTCGAATTAGTACAGTACTGCTTGAGGCTTGGAGTTGAGCGTGCCAATCCATTCTGCCCGGATAGGCCAGGCCAGAATGTGAATGACTGAATGAAGTAGAGTAGACATGTGGACTCATGCGAACACAAAGATTTGCCACGCTCCTGCTTGGAGAGATGTGGGCGTGCTCCCATGTCGAAATGTATCAACATGCGTCACTGCCCATGCTGTCAAACTACCAGGAGTTTGGCTTGCACCAGCTGCAGTCGCACGCTTCTGAGTTGTAACTTCACAAGCCCTTTCCGAAGCAAACCCTCCTGCTTTCCGTGCACGAGCTGGCAGTAGCATTGAAGAGCCGAGCCCACCTTCCAACAACAATTATAATCCCGTTCGCCTTACATCAACGAGGACACCTTAAGCAGTCGTACCGTGAACGTAGTCGTCCTAGCAGAAGCGGAAGTAACAGAAGTAGCAGTTGCAGTAGCAGCAGGAGTAGTCGTAGTAGTTGAAGTATTGCAGTAGAAGTAGCAGTAGCTGTATTAGTTATTGTTATTGTGGTAGTACGCGTAGTAGTACTAGTAGTGCTACTACTAGTTGTAGTAGTAGGAGGAACCGCAGCAGCAGCATTCGTAGTGGGGCAGTGGTTATACAAGCCGCAAAAGTAATGGAAGTAATAGCACTAGATGGACTAGTAGTGGGTAGCAGTACTCGTCGTCGTAGTAGCGTAGCAGTAGCGGCAGCAGTAGCAGTAGCGGTAGCAGTAAAAGTAGCAGTATGAGCAGTAGCAGTGGCCGGACCAGTAGCAGTAGCTGGAGCAGTAGTTGTAGTAGCAGTCGTCGTCGTAGTTATTGCGCTCGACAGTAGTAGTAGTAATAGTAGGAGTAGCAGCAGCAGTAGTTGCTGTCCTGTTCTTCCTCCAAACGTACCTGCCCTCAGTTCTTGTCAATACTACTGCTTCAACTCCGCCCCCCATAGTATTCTTAGTACGATGTGCTGGTAATGGAGGCAGGCAAGTAACACTAGAGCAGTTCCGGGCCAAGACCTACTTCGCTCGGTTAGTTTGCAGTGCGAGCCGGATCCCAATGTGAGGCGTGTTTTCATAAACGGGGGAAGGGAATACTGGCTTGTCCGTCATTGCATTGAGAAGTGCGTAAACATGGAGGATGTCATATCCTAGAAACGAATGATGCGTAATCGGCTCGCTTGTGCTACTGTCAGACTGGCAGTGCAATCATTTGCACCAGCCTTAGGTTGGACAGCCAGGATGGGTCGGGCTCTCCTGTTCAATGAGCCGAGGGCAGAGGATTACAGCTGAAGACTGAATCAGTGAAGTGAAGCTTGGAATGCTGCAGCAGCTTCTTTGCTGCCCAGGTTCAGTCAGACATGACACGGGTAGGTCGAACCAAGCTTGCGCGGCTTAGGTTTGCGAGGTGTGGGGAAGGTGCGGAGGCACGTGATCACATGGAAAACTGCCTTCCCAGCTCAGCTCCTAAGTAAACGGAAACAGCATGAAACAGCTGCATGTGGCGTGCTCGCAAGGGATTGGAACTTGATGTCACCCCAAGGAGATACTAATGCTAGCGGCAAACATCATCGCAGCTGCAGTGGCTACAATTGTCATGGGATCCCTTGCGTCACTGCCGTTCGAATTAGTACTGCTTGAGTTTTGGAGTTGAGCGTGCCAATCCATCCTGCCCCGGATAGGCCAGGCCAGGCTGTGAATGACTGAATGAAGTAAACACATGGACTCACACGAACACAAAGATTTGCCACGCTCCTGCCTGGAGAGATGTGGGCGTGCTCCCATGTCGAAATATGTCAACATGCGTCACTGCCCATGCTGTCAAACTACCAGGAGTTTGGTTTGCACCAGCTGCAGGCGCAACACATCTTGGGAGTATTTTGACATGTCATACATTGGCTGCCGGGCTAGAGCCCAAGCGAGTTGACCTTTCCGAAGCAAACCCTCCTGCATTCCGCGCACGCACGAGCTCGTAGTGGCATCTAGCAGTAAGCTCCGCCAGCAATGCTTCAGGACCCTTTGCCGCAGCATGCAGCATTGCCGATGAATCATGAATCTGGTAGAAGTAGCAGATCCAATCAACAGTTTTTGCCAGGCCAATCAGCTCATGCATGCTGTGTGTGAAAAAGCCGGCACCAGCATCGCTACTGTACCACAAGATTTGGAGGTGTTGGGACTGGCTTAGCCAGCGACATTCCCATCATGCACCCCGGGCGTCGGTACCCACGGATTTCTCGCAGCCTGACCAACGTCAAACCACGCAAGCACCAAGACTAGCACGGATCTTCTTCCGCGCTAGAAACCTCCACTCTTCCTACGGCTGCTACCCTGATGCGCGAAGTCAAATCAAGCAAATCGAGCTATTCACAGCAGGCCAAAAGAAACTGTCATACATTAACCCTGTCAACACCAAAAGACAGGGCGGCCAACACGTGTGCACTGAGGGCTTGGGTTGAAGGCTATTGCTGCAGAGTGGGCAACACGTACGCAACTCTTGATGCAGCCAGGAAGCTTCGAACTGATCAAAGGTCTCTGCAACACTGACTGCATCTCCTGCAGCTTCAAGGGGTTTCGGGTTCAGGGTCCTACATGTTCCTATGCCCGAGATCTAGTGTCCAGCAGCAACGTGGCCAACCTAGCCTTGATAGCTGTCTGTGCGGCTTGTTCCATCTCGCGTTCCCCCTGAGGAGGTGCCTGAGCATCGGTTGTCGGCGCTGGAGAGGCCGAAACGCCAAAATGAAATTAGCATGCCAGTCTACTGAACGCTCGCCAGGCCTGGTTCATTCCGGAATCCTGGACGTCTATTTTGGCCGGAGCGTCGAGTGGCCCGGTGGCGATCGTCTCTTCCCTCAGGCCGAAGCAGCACATGATGTGAGCTGGGCACAACATACGCGAGCTGGAAAGTGCCCAGCCTTGCCAAAGGCCTTCCCACCAGGTGGAGCAGCTTGTGTGGGAGGATGGCCACATGTCCAGATCTGGTGCGGGGAAGGCCAAATGGCCTTCAGCAGCCAACGCTCTTCAACAGTGGTAGGTTTCACTACCCCGTGGATTTGATTCGCAAGCAAGCAAAGTGTCGCCTCAACCGGCTGGTCTGGATGGAACACCACTTGGAAGACGTCGACACGAGCTGAATACCGGTGAACGTACATGACCTTCAGAGTTGGCGAGAACAGTGGCTAGGGTTCTCCAAGGGTGCTACGTGAGCCACCAGTATTGAATCTCAGCTAGATCTACGAAGATTGTGCGTGTGGCCTAAGTTAAGATAATGATATAGATGTTAGCAACCCCCTGGTGACCCCTTCCATCTCTGCTATCCATGTTGTAAGTCCCTGCTAACTTGGGGGAAGTTATTAGACAGTTAGATTGAAGAAATAGAATTTACTAAGCCCAAGTTCACTTTTAGCTACCTTTGTCTAACTTATTCTAGCTTGTTTTAACTAATTTAACTTACTTTGTTTTAAGTCGGCTTTGTATTAAATAGTTTTCGTTATGTGTCAATGATGCTGTTCTTTGCTGTGCTCCACAAAGATTACAGCAGATAACTGTGGGCTTAGGGGGTTCAGGTGTTCAGGAACACCACCACCAGCACCACCAGCAGCACCACCACCAGGTTTATAGGGTTTAGGGGTAGGGTAGGGCATGGAGTGTAGAAACACCATCACCAGAGCCTTCACCAACACCAACACCACCGGCACCAGCAGCACCGCCGCCGCCGCCACCACCACCACCACCGCCGCCGCCACCACCACCACCGACACCACAATTGACACCACCACCGGCGCCAGCACCAGCAGCACCACCAGCAGTACCAGCAGCAGCAGCACCACCAGCAGCACCAGCACCAGCAGCACCACCAACACCACCATCAGCACCCCCACCGCCCGCGCCACCACCGCCAGCACCACCCCCGAGTTCATAAAACCAGGCCGGATAATTTCAGAAAAAGTTCACATTTCCAGGCCTGAAAAGTACATAACAAGTTCATATTTCCAGGCCTGAAAGTTTCATATTTCCAGGCTTGAAAAGTCCATAAAAGTTCATTTCCAGGACGGAAAAGTTCATAAATGTTCATATTTCCAGGCCGGAAAAGTTCATAACAGTTCATATTTCCAGGCCTGACAGGCTCATAAAAGTTCATATTTCCAGGCCTGATAAATTCATAAACCCCCCCACCCACCAGCCCCACCATCCCCACCACCCCCACCACCACCCCGCCCACCACCCCTACCCGCCAGGGTGGTGGTGGGTGGTGGGTGGGGGTGGTAAGTTTAGTTTGATCCCCCAAAGTGGTGTGGGTGGTGGGTGGTGGGTGGTGGGTGGGTGGTGGAGGTGTGGGGTGGGCGGTGGGTGGTTGGCGGTTACCACCACCCACGACCCCGCCACCCCATCGTTGTTTCTTTTAACCTCAAGTTAACCTTTACTAACTTATTTTAACTTTTAACTTATGCTAACTTTTTATCTCACTTACTTAACCTCCTAGAAACATCTAGATCATAACTTAAGCCACACGCACAATCTTAGTACGGATCTACAGCTTCGTTTCAGCTTTTGTGAAGACGTTCCAGGCTACCCTTGACACATATGATAGACCCACCCCCACCCGAGACGATAGTAAGGACGGAACGGGAGCACCACCACCGCTCGTTTGCACAATGTCACCTTCGTTTACTCGACTGGCTTGCCTCCTCTCGCCACACTCCATGACAATCCGATGCGTTGAGGTCACCAAAATCCATGCGAACTGAGTCTGTATATCGACTAGGTCAAACTCATCACGATGAACCTGCACGTCAGCCACCTGCAATAAGTCATTGCTGCCTGCGGCGCTGATTCGTGTACCAGTATCGATGGACTCAACAGGAACATGCATCCCACTTGCAGCCGGCAACAGGGTACCACGCAGAAAGCATTTGGGTCCCCCACCAGCTTCCGAGACGACAGAGATGGAACTCGATACAGAAAGCACAGAACATTCAGTTCCAGCATCCCTTGAAGGCGAGATACGGAGTCCAACCTGTGAAGCAGAATCCTCTGGCCGAATCGTTGCCAATGCAGTGGCGGTGGGAGGACTTCCTCTGCTTTTGGACTTTGGCCAGCGGCTTTCTCGCAGCCTCTTCAGAAAACTTTGTCGATCAACCAGGCATCTGCAACCGTCAAGGCTCGTGATCATATCCAGGAAGTCTTTGGATCCGCTGCTGAGCACCTCTGCGTTGCCAATGCAAACGAGGCCATACTTTGCGCGTGTCAGGGCCACATTCAGGAGCTTTCGGTTTGACACTATGCCGATGTTCTGTGCGCGCAGTTCACGCAACGCCGCAGAGTCTCCCTTTGAGAAAGCTTCCGTGGAGCGGGTAACATCTTGCATCTCTTCAGAGACACTTCGAACGAAACTAAGGATGATGTACTCCCGCTCTGAGCCCTGTAAAGCATGCACTGTTCCCACCAGGATGCTTGAAGCCCTGCCTCTTCCCACGGCACATTCCAGCTGTGCACGGATTTCATGTTGCTGGGATGTGTATGGGGTAAGGACTGCAATGTCCATTCCTGAACAACCTTGTTCAAGCAGCGCCCTGCAAACAAGAGCAACAACCTCTGCCTCACCGGAGTTTTTCAAGGAAGTCAGACTTTGTGCAGACTGAGCCGCCGGATTTCTGTCCTTAGACTGGGGGCTCCGGCAATCGATAAAGAGGCGATGCTCCTTCTCCTGTGGCCAGAGACACCGCAGCTTTGGCCTAAAGGGCATAGAAACTCCATCGAGGAGCTTCGATTCATAGAACTGCGTAGATGGGAAGCTGCGGATAGAGGGATGCATACGGTATTGCACATCCAGCATGGTGCTGAGCCGAAGGCGCCGAGGATTCTGCACCATGCGCTCCAGGAACGGGGTCTCCAAGGCCATGACATAGGCAGCACAAAGGTTACGTTCAGGTACCACCGGGCCTAGCTGTTGATGATCTCCAACCACGACGATGCGGTGAGCGGCGAGTGTTGCAGCAAGCACCACATCAGGCTCGCTCGCCTGTGCGGCCTCATCAATGACTGCCGTGTGGAAAGAGACAGGACGGACCCCATCACCATGGCTAAGCGACGTGTGAAGGTAGGAGTTGGCACAGGTCGTGATCACGATGTAGCTTTGTTTCAAGACTTTCTCCTCCGCCATCTCATATGCCCGATTGAGAGCCTTCTGGTCCATGCCCTCAGACTGCCTGGAGGATGAATGGAGAAACTGGCTCACTTTGTAGTGCAGCGCATGCTCTTCCAGGTGATTCTGAATGTCGAATCTGCGCTCGCTTCCGGAATTGCGAGTGCTGTAGGTGCTTCCATTCTCTTGCTCAATGGACCTTGAGTACACGCGGGTGACATAGTGGGCTGGAATGGTCGTGTCTCGGACCAATCTATCCAGAAGGTGGTCAGCAGCCTGATTCGACGGCGCACAAACGAGAATACGATCACGGTCTTTGGGTTGTCTGCCATGTCTGCCAGGCATGGCAGAAACAGCGGCCAAGATGAGTTGCTGAAGCAAAGAGGTCTTGCCAGTGCCAGGCGGGCCTTGGACCATGGTAAAATGCATCTGCAATCCGCGCTTCAATGCTAGCAGCTGCTTGTCATTGAGGCCCTTGCAGCCCTCAACCTGGTATTCTGGCTTGTCCAAGGCCAGGTTCACTTGGGCCTTCGTGAGCAAGGGTCTCATCTCCAAGTCTCGTTTCTGCTGCAAAGCCGTTCGGGTCGAAGTGAGGGGCATGCCTTGAAGTGGGAGCGTTTGGGGGAGCGCCTTGAGCATGCGAATGCTCTTCTTCTCGTTCCGGGCCACCGCGATGAAGCAGACTGAAAGGGTGGCGCCAGCAAGGATGAAATCTGCCTGCGTCTCCCTGAGTCCATGACAGGCTTGGGAAAGCTTTATCTCGATGCTGAACGCCTGCACAGACTCACCATGAGTCATGCGTTTCCCGGTGAAGCGTGTCTGAGAAACGACACCGCGTAGCTCCAAAATACGATCTGCTTGTTGACAGCTCAGAACAGCCAGATCTTCGTCATGCAGCCATTGATGTTCAGCGAGAGCAATCTCCACTTTGCACTGGAGATACCATGTTGCATCTGCTGCGTGCCACTTCGGGGCATGCACTCTGGCAGATTGAGTGTACAAAGAACTGTTGACTGCTCCTGCGTGGACTTGGCATGTCCGAACTCGGGCCCAAAGCTCCGAATACTTCTCCAAGCGGCGATCCATCAATGCCCACTCGGTGAGATCAGGACATGACGAGAACATCTCGGGGAACATTCTGTGGCCTACAGGGAAGGAGAGCGATGCGGTGGTGCCCTGCTTTTCCTCAAAGATCATCTCAGAAACCAGGACTGAGTTAGCAGCGGCATGATGGGGAATGGGCTGCGCACAGTTCCTTGCTATAGTGCACACCATAGGCGGGAAATACCACGTGCGAATTGCAAGACCAGGCTCCATGGGCGATGCTCCGCCTGCCAGCCTTATGGACTGTGTGGCTACATCATAGTCTGAAGCACAGGTGTCGCCGCACAGAGCTGCCACTGGCACCTTGAGCTCGAGGATATTGGCACAGGGCGAAGGAATCAGAACGTTGATGTAGCTCGGTCCAACAGCTCCGATCAAGGCATCCGAGACACGACGTCCAGGCACTAGCTCTTTCATCCAGGAAATGACCCTGAAAATGTGCAGTCCGAAGTTCTTCGCACTTGTCCTGGCATTTGATCGAGCAACCGCCTCATGCAGCTCTGACTTGGTGAGAAGCATGTGATCCAATGGGCGTGCTAGGCCGAGATGGCACTTCAACGCTCGCATGCCGAGGATGTCAAGATTGCGCTGCAGCGGAGCTGTCACAGGAAAAATCGGTTCGTGGCGAAAGAAGCTGCAGTTCGAAGCCTCAGCACGCTTTTCTGACACCGGATGGACTTCATAGTAGGCCTGAGGAAAACAATTCCGCAGTCGACGAATGAAGGACGACTGGAAGCAATGCTGTTGCAATTCGGAAATTCCAGGCTGCTCCAGGATTTCTCTCAAGGACTGCACGGCATCCCTTACCGTCAGGTTTCGTTGACCTTCTGCCGGCCTAAGGCGGAGCAAACGCTCCATGACTTTCCAAGTGGATGGGTCAGGTTGGCTGTGGGAATACGTCACCGACAGTGCAGACGATGGCTGCGTATCACCGACGAGCAGTTCAGACCAAGATTGCCCCATCAAGAGGCTGCCAACATGCCGGTCAACCATGTACGTGAGAGTTCGCATGGTCCGAGAGCTGACGAGTTGTGCAAAGAGAGTACTGCTACATGCCTTGCGACTGAAATTGATGTCGAGATGCTCGAACACCGCAAGGCTCTCTCTGGCAACCTCTGCATCCTCAAACTTCTTAGCAAGGCGTGCTACAAGACGAAGCGTCCTGCCGATAGCGTCTCCGTCTGCTTCCTCCAGGATCAAGCGACCGGCATCTGCAGGGCTCAAAAGCGAATCACATCGCACGATGGTCTCCGAGATTTGCACGTTTTGCATGTCGACTACCTGGTGCTTTGTAAGGGGGAAGGTGAAAGTCACGGCAGCGCGCTCACAGCCCTCCGTGAAAGTCAGCTGCTTCTCCATCTCTGGGGGAAAGAAGGGCAGGCTGGCATCTAAGGGCATGTCCTCATGGTCCATGAACCATACGCCAACTGCGCGTCGTTGAGCAAGCTTGTGGATGTGCTGGAGCTCAGGGCTGTCAATGTAAGCATTGATATCCAGGACATGGACATGCAGGCTTGTATCCGGCATGCAGGACACCACCACGCTCGTCGGCAAGCTTTTGTGCTGTATGCCAACCACCGGGCTGGAATTGCAAAAGCGCATGCGTGAGGACAGATCAGGCCTTGGGAAACCCTCAGCGGGCAATAGAGTCTTCTGCTCCCAATCGCAGAAGTTCATGGAAATCTGCACAGGCTCGAGGATAGCAGCATCAGAGTCGCGCGTGTGCATCTTCAAGCTCTTCACGTACTTTCCCGTTGGCGGGCGGTCGCCATCCCAGCTTCGGACCTCCACTACGTGCAAGTCGGATATGCTCGCAGGTGTTGTGCCCTTTGGCCAAGGCACCTGAATGGGAGGCAGCTTTCCATTGATGGCCTTGAAAGCCACGTATCTTTCGTGGTTGGTCTTCTTGGACTTGGAACAAACAAAGAGCTTCTGCCGGGGAACGCCCGACTCCCTGCAGAGCACAATGCGGCCATAGAGCTCAGTCCTGCGGCTGTTTGCGGTGTGCTCCGTACTGTATAGCTGCTGGATTATTGTCCCTTTAGAATGACTGTGCTTGACAGGACTGGCGGTCGGACAGACAGATGAAACCACAGAAGCTGCTGCAGTGAGCTGCAATTTCTATGCTTCGATATTCCTATTCCTTTACTATCCTTTACTAGTATATGCTGGGTTATCGTGGCAGCTGCCAGGCGTCAAAGAGGACGCAAACGTCAGTCCTGCGAAAATCGTCTGCGCTGAAGGTCTCCTGCATCCTGTGTGCTGCGCCATCTGCGGGAAACATGAGGCCCTTGGCCAGTCAAGCTCGGATGTGGCTACATACCATGGCTGCGCACTTGACACCAAGAAAACTGAGAACCCGGCCACAAGGATCCGCACGTAGCAGCAATCGCAATCCCAGGCATTTCCACGGCTCCTACCTGCAGGAATCCGGACCCTGCAGCCGATCATCGGTGCTGGGCCTCGCTCCACAATGACCTCACCGCAGTGCTTCAGCTTGCCTTCTGAGCTAGCTCCAACGCAGCGAAAGGTTCCACAAATCAATGTCCCTTCTAGCTTGTCGATGTTATTGGGCTGCGCTTCAAGCAGCTCATGTAGGCTGCCTGCTTGCATGGCACAGCTGGAGGCGCCATCATGAACCAGTGCTTCTGTCAGTCCCACAGGTTCGCCAGTATCTGAACCCGATTCAGCGCAACAACTTGAGGCAGCCTCAAATAAGTCAGATCGCAGCTTTACCAAATGATCATGCAACTGCTGGATTTCTGGCTCAGAGGAAAAGTTTGTTTGCATCCACCCAAAGTGGGCCAGAACACTGGCAACTAAGGGCGATGCTGCGGAAGGGCGGAGTGCCTCTTCAAGGGTCACTTGCCACGGGGCATGCAGTCCCCGGCACCGCAAGGCTTCGCTCACGGCTGTGAGGGCCAAATCCAGCTTGGTTGCAGCGTCCTCGTCGTCTTCAGATTCCGGTTCGTTCCACGGCAATGGTGCACCTGATGGCGGGATGCTGGACAACGGCTGTGCCGAAGTCGGGTCAGCAGCACTCGGGCGCTGGGTGCTCCCTGAAGCAGCACCCCCTCCGACGGAATCAGGACTTGAACAATTGAAAGATGGCGCGCTGACATCGGACCATATCGAGTCCAGGCCAGGTGGTGCACGAAAGCAACTGCTCGGAGCCGGAAGCCACTGTGCGTCTGGGAACTTGGGCTGCACGTATTTGAGGCTTTTTGTGCGCAGCCGGTCGGCTCCAACCCATTCGTCGTCGTCTGACGTGTGGCCCTGGTACCGCACCTGAATCGGAGCCCTTGATCTAGAGACATCGGCGGAGATTTGCATGATAAGGCCATAGAACACCTTCTCATTGTAAGACACGGACACCGGCATGCCCGTTGAGAGCGAGCTGTAGTCAGGCACTCGCAGAGAGTCGATCGCGAACCATGCAACTTTCTGAAAAGGCGCATCGTACTGCACCTTGATTGGTGCAGCTTTGTGCGAGTCAGGTGAGATCTCCATGACCTCGCCGTATTGGAACTTGTTCTTGAAGCGTATGAGGACAATCGTGCCTACACACAACACTGTTGGATCTGTACTCCCCAACTCCGACTCCATGTTCGGTTGTTGCTCGAAGGTGTCCCTGCTAGGCAACGCATCACAAATTTCTTGGCACTCTTCAGCATCTTTGCTTTGTGGTATGGGCTGCCATGTCAGCTGCGAGTCTGGAAACTTGGGCTGAACGTACTGGAGGCTTTTTGTGCGCAACCGGTCGGCTCCAACCCATTCATCGTTTTCTGACGTGTGGCCCTGGTATCGCACCTGAATCGGAGCCCTTGATCTTGAAGCCTCGGTAGAGATCTGCATGATCTTGCAAAAGAAGACCCCCTCGTCCTTGCAACACACAGACACCGCCATTCCCGTTGAGAGTGAAGTGTAGTCAGGCACCTGCAGATCGTCAACTGCACACCATGCGACAGTCTGAAATGGCAAGCCGTACTGCACCTTGATTGGTGCAGCATTGCGTGTTTCAGGTAAGATCTCGATGACCTCGCCGTACTTGGATGGTTGACTGGTCATGAAAACCATCATGCCTACTCGTAGCACCAAGGGATCCGCGATCCCCAATTCCGGCTCCTGACGAGACTGCTCACGGGCTGCTATGCTGGACGAACCGTCCGTGGCCGCTGCGCTCAGTGCTTCCCGGCGCATGTAGTGCCGGTACGTGCACCTAGCGCCAAAGCCGCAAAGCATTCCAGGCACATCTTCATGCAAAAACTGTCGGCCTGCAGACCAATGCTCGCTCTCCTGATGGCAGTGGCCCCGCAGCCACATGCAACACACAAAGGTGCCCCTGCTAGGCATCACATCCCTAGCTTCTTCGCGCTCTTCAGCATCATCGCATGTTGGCAGGGTTGGCGATACCAGCTGCGAGTCAAGGAGCTTGGGCTGAACGTACTGGAGGCTTTTTGTGCGCAGCCGGTCGGCTCCAACCCATTCGTCGTGATCTGACGTGTGGCCCTGGTATCGCACCTGAATCGGAGCCCTTGATCTAGAGACATCGGTGGAGATCTGCATGATAAGGCCATAGAAGACCTTCTCATTGTAAGACACAGACACCGGCATGCCCGTTGAGAGCGAGCTGTAGTCAGGCACTCGCAGAGCGTCGATCGCGAACCATGCAACTTTCTGAAAAGGCGCATCGTACTGCACCTTGATTGGCGCAGCTTTGTGCGATTCAGGTGAGATCTCCATGACCTCGCCGTATTGGCACTTGTTCTTGAAGCGTATGAGGACAATCGTGCCTGCACGCAACACTGTTGGATCTGTAATCCCCAACTCCGACTCCATGTTCGGTTGTTGCTCGAAGGTGTCCCTGCTAGGCAACGCATCACAAATTTCTTGGCACTCTTCAGCATCTTTGCTTTGTGGTATGGGCTGCCATGTCAGCTGCGAGTCTGGAAACTTGGGCTGAACGTACTGGAGGCTTTTTGTGCGCAACCGGTCGGCTCCAACCCATTCATCGTTTTCTGACGTGTGACCCTGGTATCGCACCTGAATCGGAGCCCTTGATCTTGAAGCCTTGGTAGAGATCTGCATGATCTTGCAAAAGAAGACCCCCTCGTCCTTGCAACACACAGACACCGCCATTCCCGTTGAGAGTGAAGTGTAGTCAGGCACCTGCAGATCGTCAACTGCACACCATGCGACAGTCTGAAATGGCAAGCCGTACTGCACCTTGATTGGTGCAGCATTGCGTGTTTCAGGTAAGATCTCGATGACCTCGCCGTACTTGGATGGTTGACTGGTCATGAAAACCATCATGCCTACTCGTAGCACCAAGGGATCCGCGATCCCCAATTCCGGCTCCTGACGGGACTGCTCACGGGCTGCTATGCTGGACGAACCGTCCGTGGCCGCTGCGCTCAGTGCTTCCCGGCGCATGTAGTGCCGGTACGTGCACCTAGCGCCAAAGCCGCAAAGCATTCCAGGCACATCTTCATGCAAAAACTGTCGGCCTGCAGACCAATGCTCGCTCTCCTGATGGCAGTGGCCCCGCAGCCACATGCAACACACAAAGGTGCCCCTGCTAGGCATCACATCCCTAGCTTCTTCGCACTCTTCAGCATCATCGCATGTTGGCAGGGTTGGCGATACCAGCTGCGAGTCAAGGAGCTTGGGCTGAACGTACTGGAGGCGTTTTGTGCGCAGCCGGTCGGCTCCAACCCATTCGTCGTGATCTGACGTGTGGCCCTGGTATCGCACCTGAATCGGAGCCCTTGATCTAGAGACATCGGTGGAGATCTGCATGATAAGGCCATAGAAGACCTTCTCATTGTAAGACACAGACACCGGCATGCCCGTTGAGAGCGAGCTGTAGTCAGGCACTCGCAGAGCGTCGATCGCGAACCATGCAACTTTCTGAAAAGGCGCATCGTACTGCACCTTGATTGGCGCAGCTTTGTGCGATTCAGGTGAGATCTCCATGACCTCGCCGTACTGGAACTTGAAGTGTGGACCGGCCATGAGGACCATCATGCCTACTCGCAATATCAGTGGGCCCACGACCTCTGCTTTCGGATCCACACCGGGTTGCTCAGGGCTGACCGCTTTGCTTGAAGATCCGCCCGTGGCATCTCGACTACCTGCATGTGTTGCAGATGCGACACCAACTTCTTGAGATTCAATTGGGCTGCTGCTTGGCACAAGCTTCTTCTTCTCAAGGTTGCATGGATCTCCATGCGCTGCTGCTCGGAGTACCGAGGACCGAGCTTCCACTCTGTAATTTGTGCTTCCTTGTTCAGTATGACCGTCGTCTCCATGAAGGTCGACCCGTGCAGGTGATGGCACCGTTGCAACGGCTTCGGCGATGCTTGCCTGCGTGGCCGGTGCAGATGTTTGCAAAGGCTTGCTTGCAATGCTAGTGACCGGGGCCGCAAGTGGCTCGAGATTCCTTTGCACCGCTTCGTCTTGGAGATCACACCATTCCTCCGCACAACGGAACAGCGGCTTGCCCATGTGCCACGCCTCCTGCTGCCGACCATGAAATAGTATGCCTGCACCACCGGTTGTTGTGTCCTTAGCATGAAACCGACTCGCCACTTTTGGATCGGTGGGATCGAAAAGGTTGCACGGGGCACGAATTGTGATGTGCCCCCAGATGCCTTGAAGCATTCTCAAGACAGTAGCACGACGGCTTCCACCGACCACATCCAATGTGCTGCCATGTACCACAACCTGGCTCGATTGCGATATCTTTGACAGCGGCATGGCTCTCTTAACGCTGGCTTCAATGGCTTAGGCGCTCCCTGGAATAGTGCCCGCCTCAAGAGGTTCTATCTCCTCGACACGCTGGCGCCCCGTCGCCAGGTCGATGAAAAGCTCGAACATAGAACGGTCCTCACATGCAGGGTGCCAACTGCGAACAACAGGGCATGAACTCGGCAATTCCCATGGGTGCTTTTCCTGAAGCGGTTCAGCGCTTTCAACACTCGGCAACAAATGGCTCTGTTTGATTCACTGGGGGCAGGAAAGTAGAACAGCCAACCCGGGCATGTCCTTGAAGGCGCCAGACGTGAACACCATCTGGCCATGAATCCTTCCCTGTGCCCATCGCAGACACAGCACGGGAATGAAGACTTTGGGCCTCGTTCCGCGTTCTCGAGGCATGGGAAAATCCCTCCTCAGCAGGTCATCTCAGTCTCACGACAACGAGAGTCAGCAAGAGAAGGACGTACACAATGACATGCAACTGCAAACTCTGACACCAAGACTCTGAAAGTCGATCGCATCAGCCACGAAACGGGGTAGCCCTTGTGCAATTCCTTTCACTGCCTCTGGCGAAGATGCTTGCACGGGAGACGAGGTTTCTGCATCTGAAGTTGTCGCCTCCTGTAACTTGGCATGATGTTTTAGAATCATGCGGCCGTGTGCTTGCTTCACGCACATCTCCACCAGGTCTGATTTCAACTCCTCCGTCGTCGTCTGGGATAAGATGTTCCTGCTGTCATATCCAAAGTCCTCGAACTTGCTTGCATAAATGCCTAAGACAGCATCTATGGAAGCTAGCCATTGATGGATCCATGGCACCGCCGGCTCCGATTCCATGGGTGCTCCTGCAATGCAATGACCCCGCCGTCTGGCCGGAATATGCAAAAAGATGCTGCCCAACCCTCCTTCTGTGAGCAAGTAAAAGCGGGCGAACGAATTGGCACCATGTGCACCCAAAGGCGCATCTGCAGCTCCGTTAAGGTCGAATCCTAGCTTCACCCAACGAACGATCAAGTTCAACTTGAGTTGACCAACTCGAACGTGGATTCTGCTTCGCTCTCCAGTCGGACCCAAACAGATAACTTAGGAACACAACAAACCATCAAAACGTAAAAGATCGTGGATGCAGAAACGTGACACAATAATCTTTGGATCCTTGCGGCAAGATCTAAAGCCTCCAAGCTCTGCAACTGTGTCTGCAGGTCCGACGACCATCTTCGGCCCTTTCTGAGGCCTTTGGGAAAAATTGAAAACCAGCAAATCGATCGCGGCGCCTTGTCAACAATCAGCGTATCGCACCGAAATCTTTCTTAGGCTAGAGACGGCATGCGTGAAAGCTTCATCCGTGTAATTAATGTGCCCATGTTGACAGCCGCAAGAAGGGCCAAGCCTCTTCAGGCTACACGGCCCTGTCCGTGGCATGATCATTCAAGGAATTTCCAGAGAGAGACTTCAAGAGGCTGGAAGTGGAATGAAGCTTGCCTCAGACCGGAGTGCATTTTGCAAAGGAATGGCGAGTACTCTGACGTCGCAGGTGTAAACGGAGCTCCTGAACCCGTCTCTTTGTTCCTTGCCAATCAGACTGAAAGAGTGCATGTTAGGTAAGCCAAAGAGACACACATGCAATGCAGATAAGCCACTCAGCGACCTGACCTCAGGTGCGCCAGGTTTCGCACTGAGACCACCAGCATGTGTCTTACTTGCAGCAAGGCAGTGTGTTGCTTGAAATTGCAGCCTCTTACCGCATCATTATCAGAATGATTCGAATCCACATAGTTAATTGCTACTATACGGCCAACTACCGAAGCTCGGCCAGTTTTCGTCTACACAATCTCTGTGCCTGTCCTGGTGTTCCTACTGCTGCATACCACAGCGCTGCGGCTGACGAGCAGAGTAGGAGGAGTAGCAGGCAAAAAATACCAGACGGAGATGTATAGCAGAAATAGCACTATCAGCGGTGTCGACATGCTCCCGGATTCTTTTCTCGGTAAAGCTTGGACTGCCAGGTGCTCTTTTATTTTTTGGGGGTCTAAACAGATGACCCTAGAGTCTTGTCAACGTTCTGGTTGAGCTATGGAGATTGTGTTCGTGTATTGCCTCAAGCATAGAACAACGCGCTGTTATAATTTGGAGAATTCTTGGACGACGGCTTGCGGGCACATTGCGCTGTACCTGTGTTCGGAAACTTTCAGCTAGAGTATCTCGTGTCTACTTAGATGTCCCTAGAGTCTTGTCATCCACTACGGCAATTGTGTTCGTGTATTGCCTCAAGTCACGCATGGAACGACAACCCATTATAAATTGGAGAATACTTCGACCAGGGATTCCGGCAATATTGCGCTATACCTATGTTCGGAAACTTGAGGGAGAGTAATTCCTCTTATTCACGCGAACTTAGTAGCCGCAGGAAAGCTCAGGCTCGCACCACTTTCCAGTTACCGCGGTACTCCCTCAGCTCCTCGAACTCATCCAGGAAGTTGATCGCCACCAGGATCAATGACAGAACAACCTCGGGAAAATAGCAGCCGGAGAAGACCTTCAAACAAGGATGACCACAAAAATACACACCAGAAGCAGAGTTTCTCTTGCTTCTGCTTGACTGCTTCAGTTCATTGCCTGAGATGCAGGCACATGAGTAGAGACCTGCTCTCCCAGAGATCTTGCCAGAGAAGTACATGGACATCCCAGCGAAGAGCAGCTGTGCACCAACTTGTACCTGCTCTCAACATGCACCCATCTCCATCATGATGCAAAAACTGGTGAAGCACGCAGGCAGAAGAACGATGTTGCATGGTGCTCTTGTGATCTTGGGAGATTCTTGATGCCGAAGGCTTAGCAAGACGACCGTAGAACATGAACATACATTATAGATCATTATATGGTACCCGTATAGAACATATAGTACCTTCAGGGCCTTTCGGGAGCCCCCTTTCGGAACCTTTTCCGTGCACCCGAGCCTTCCAAATCGCCTTCAGCTGCGCCTTTCCCGGCGGCACAGGAGGCTCTTTGTGCAGCAAACGCTGGATCGTCGCGACCAGCAGCAGAATACCGAAACCTTCGGGTTTACGGCGGAGGCTGTGTGGGGGGCTTTGGGGCTCAGGGCTTAAGATATTCGGAATGTGATAATTTCAGTTCCAGGCGGTGGGCAGTGGTACCGAATCTAGCCCACATTACTGCAAAAGCACGGGCAGTGGTCCTCAAAAGGTTTAAATCGATCGAACCAATGATAGCATCTTGGACCATACCGCCACCATCTAAAACGAGGAGCACACCAAGAGACGGCCCTCGTGTTTGAAACAGCGTGCTGAAACTGCTTTCTATTGCCCCCTTATACCTACAGCTATACCTACGCAAGGTAGAAAAAGCTTCATTGGATGCGAAGACGCTGATCGCAGGGTGTGGCAGGCAGACATATAGTTTAAATTCTAAACTGGTCTAGATTGACTTTGCACCTTTTGTGGATCTCTAAACTGCAAGTACCATGAGGTCCAAGGGCTGGGGGATACGCTTACCCGCAATGACTGTGCAACCCCGACCGTACCGCCCCTTTCGCCCACGGTTGCTTCTTCGGCATAAGTTGGCAGGAGATGGCCACAATGCACATAGGTGCCAGAGGCATGCCAAGGGATGAGAATGCCGAGCCCCTTGTAAGTGTTCGGCATGCAGGCAATCCCGTCAGTCAGTCCCATGAACCGCTGCAGTAATATAGGGGCCGTTCTAATTCGACTAGGGTTTTGGGGCCCAATATACTATAGTTATAATAAGGAACCCCCACAATAGTATAGGTAATTATTTAAGCCCCTATGTTAAAGGCAAACCCTAAACCCGAGCAAACCCCTTTTGAGTGCTCAAGCGCAACAAGATGGCCTTGGCTCAGGTCGCGCCCTGCTCTACGGTTTGCAGCTGCAGTGGCGTCTCCGTAATCCTTCAGGGCTTATACTGCTTCATTAAATACTATATATATATATATATATATATAGTTCTGTCATGAATGACTCGACTACACATGCTGTAAACAAGCTAGTCGTACTAGTTGCTAGTAGCACTGGTACTTGGGAGTCGTATGAAGACTTCTACTGTGCTGGGGGACAGTACAGGTGGGCTCAATCGTGAATGTTTTATGTTGCTTGTTTTAGGTCGTCTTGTTTAGTGGCTAAGAGGTTCAGGTTGAGCGTCTCAAATACGGCATCTAGGCCAGGAGTCCTAAACCAGTTCCGTATCGCAACAGGGTTTAGGCACTTAGCCTTGCAATAACGGCGTTTTGTGCTTCTGACCTGAAGCCCTGAACCGAACTCTGCGTACTTTGGCGCAAGCTTCAATCTAACGATGTCTACGTTGCGCATCTGTGCGTGCATCTTTCGTTCTCTCGCTCTGCCTCACGCTTTCTACTCTCAAGCACACGCGCAAATGACCACGGAGTAAATCTTGTGTAACGCCCGAACGAACGGACAGACAGACAAATGCGGACAGACAAATACTACATGCATACCTGCACTCACACATATAGTTGTAGGTATGGCTTGTAGGGTCTGCTATCTGAATTGCTGTACTGGCTTTCCGACAACTTATACGGAGGCTTGGGCTGTTTCGATGTAGAAACGGCAAAACTGCATGCTCCTTGAACTCTTGATCCACGACCAAGAAGGCACCAGCAGCCATCATCATAACCTGTTCAGGAAACCCACATTCACGCAAGCCTCTCAAGGCACTCTGAAACCGCTCAAGACCCTTATGCAACCCGTCTAGGAACACGATAACATCTCACCAAATCTCGTCAACCTGAAAGAGCGAACGTGGTGCGGTAATTTTGACCCGGACGCCTTGGTTTTCGGTCTAGGGGACAGCATCTCTTCGGCAGCGGGACATTCCCACAGGGAAGTGGCTCTAAGGCTTTTGAGGGATGTTTCCCAGGCTGTATACGAGGATTCGTTAGTAGGCTTCTACAAATTGCAGAACTCCCTTGGCTAATCGACCTTCTTCTATGAAGATGCATCATATCCAAGTGCCTAAACAAGGTCTGTCTTGACCAACCCTGACACACGCGCACACACACACACACCACGAAACAGTCTTCGAATGAATTGGACAGCACACATCTCAAATCAAATCCGAATCAAAACCACACTATGAAATCACAAGCCCGCAAGCTACGACTGTAAATCGCTGAAGCTTCACACCAAGCCGGTGTCGGAGCGGACAGGAAACTACACCCCAGATCGACGAAAGGTTTATTAACGAGGTTCACCATTGAGGTCGTGGGTAACAAGTCTGGTCCGAAATCCTTGGAAGCTTCCAGACTTGGAAGTTTCGACTCGAGCACTCGCACGAAGGCAGGCTTTTAGAAACCTACGCGTCCCAAACCCTGGAACGCGCTACTTACTCCCAAGTCCTGAAACCACATAATCAAGAGCGGAACGGCAAAGTCTTGTTTTAACCGCACACCCTTAAGCCCCGAAACCCTCCTCTCCAATCCCTAGTCCTCAAAGAAGTGCTCAGCAAAGAGGCCTTCGGGTTCTTGCTAACCCTGTTAAGTCTGTTTTCCCTGTCATGTTACCTAAAAATAATTGGCCCGTATACTCTGAGCCCTAACCCCTATTATCAGTAACAGACAAACCATGACCAGATGCTAAGCCCGACTATCCTGGACCCTTGTCCTCAAAATGCCCCCAGCCTGTGTGGAACCTTGAACACATTTAAAATATCTATGTATGTATGTATGTATGTATGTATAAACGTACGCGTATGTGCACATACATATGTATATGTATATATATATATATATATATATATTATATTATATATATATATATATATATATATATATCTATATATGCATA